CAAAGCAAGAATTATTCACATTGCTAACGATCAATTATTACAATTTTAACGTAAAAACGCATGGCTGCAGAGACAGCGCTGATGCGCAGTGCTACCTAGGTTGAGTCTGCAGATATCGTTTCTGGAACAATGCAGTTCTGTCACATATATTCTTTCCTCAGAGTTTTGGAAAAACTAACTTTCAGCAGCCGCTGGGCTTGTAAAGAGAGCTCAGACCTACAACTGAGAGCGGAGAAGGCCGGACGGTGACTAGCAATTACTAAAACCCTCATCGAGGGTCGTAATGGGGATTGGATGGTCAAGCGAAGTGATCGGTCGTATTTTCCTATCCATAGAGTTAAAGGATAACTGTTTCGCGTATTAACAGGATCGAATGTCTTCGTCACAAGGGAACGCAGTAAATCGTGGAGCACCGTCACCGCTGAGTCCTCGACCAGGCATGATGAGTGACGATACACCGGAGTATATCAAACAACGTCAAGGCAAGCGAGGGGAATTCAGATATTTTTAGCTTATTTTAGTCTCTTGCTGCGCTCATATTCAACACTTCTTTTTTTGCTTGATGACAAAAAAGTTTTATCGTTTATTTGATTTTCCATCAAACTGAGCTTAACGAGTTTTGCAAATTCGAAACGAGAGCGGTGCTTTCGAATGAGCTAATTTAGTGTATTTCCTGAAATTACGGAACTTCACTTACTTTGATCAGCTGCAAAATCTCTTAAGTTTTGGAAATATGCACTGTTTTTTCTAAAACAGCGCTGCGAAATTTCATTTTTTCATGTTTTCGATCAGTGTTCTCAAATATATTATGCTGAATCAATTGCTCACTTCAGTTTTTGACATTTTTTTCAAAATCTGGATGCAGATTTTAGTTGTGTTTGCACAGTAAGTCTCGTATTTCTTATTTTCCGTTAAACCTAACACCATTAAACTAATTTCGTTTACATTTTCAAATAATTCACTTAACGAGTTTCGCTTCTTCCAATTAGAATTCTTCTTTCGTAAACCTGTGTAATTCGAAGAGGCGAGCTCGAATGGTTCCCCAGCGTTCCAAAAAACATAGCCAGCAAGTATCTGTCGTGGATAAGTGTCAGCTTCGAGAGTAACCGATATAAGCGTGTGATTTTTTTGCATCACATCCCGGTTTGTGGCACAGTGCACTGCAAAACTAACGCGTTCCATTTACTGACTAGAACTTGTCTGTTTCTTAGACTGAAACAGTCTCTGAGCATGACGCTACCAAGAACTTTTACTGCGATATTCAATGCAATAACAGAAGGATTATAGCTGCTTCTCATCCCAGACTACGAAGACGAAACAACTAAACTTGGGGAGAGTGTGGATATTCGAAGGTCGGTGATGCCTAGAAAAAAGAAACACTGAGTTGCCGTCTGGAATAACAACCTTAAAACCCATGCGCGGGGCAGGTAGTGCATCAAAAACGTTCAAAAATCTATGAGATCACTAGGGAAACGGCCTGGTAACATAAAAGTTTCGAATTCTATAACAAATACCATATACTTTCTGCTTGTTCCATTATCCCCTTCCAACTGATTTGTCGAACTGCGTGAAGATTTCTCCTTTGCGTGGACCATAATGCACTGAATTAAGCTTCTTTTCACAGTTGCATCTCTTCCCTTTTTAAATCATTCGTTTCGAGATAAATCTGAACTTGCAACACTGTAGCTTAAACGCTGCATATTAATTGTTCTGTTCGACGCAGACACCGAGTGCTGAATTTAACTGAACTAGGGGGACAGATGTGAATGGTGGGTTCTGTTTGGGATAGCATCGTTCGCTGGCTGTTAACCTTGCTTGTGCATGATAACATAAATGAAAAAGTCTGAAGTTTTACTACGCTATCTCTCAGAAGAAAAAAGTTTATAATTTAAGCAGTCGGTTACACATAAGCTGTAATATGTTTGGCGCTTTGTAGTCTCGGTGATTACAAATTCGCTATGTGCCACATTTTCCCTTCTTTTCAGATTTATTTAAAACGCGAAATTTTAAAGCAAAATAGCTTTTAAGGCGTAAATTCTGATCAGGAATAATTAGTTTGTTAAGGAGTTTGTGGATTATTGGCAAAAAATTATGTTCAACACCTTTTACGGTTAGTTCACGCAGCTGTGGTTAGATAATCCAGGCATCCGCACACAGATGTCTGCTTCAAAAAAACCTCTAGAGGATTTAGGTTTA